TCGAGGGACGTTCTTCTGGCCCAGGTCCGACTTTCATGCTGCGCTCCACGATGTCCCACGTTTCCAGGGCTTCCGACCTTCCGCACGGGCTGCCGAAGCGAGGGCCGGCAGATGCCCTGGAGCCCATTGCCACGTGCGGTAGTCGGGCGATCGCAAACATGGATCAAGGGGGCGTGGGCTGGCGACGGGTCCCGCTTCCGCGGGAAACCGCGGATCTCCGCCGCCGAGCGAGGCGGCACCGGCCGCATCTCGGGGAGGGCACCTCCCCCGATCCATGGGCTCCGCGACCGCGCGCCACGTCCATGGATCGCCAATGCATGTCGGCGAGCCCCCGACGCCGTTCCGCACGGGCTGCCGAAGCCAGGGCCGCCAGATGGAACCCACGGCCACGTACACGGCAGGCTCGCGTCGTGCTGACCGGCGGCGACCCCGCCGCGGGCGCTCGAGGTTGAACGCCGCCAGCGGCCCAGAGCGGGCCTACAGTTCAGTCGGGCCTGCCCGTCCACAGGAGGGATATCCAAAAGTAGTTTCAAGTAGTCTGGGGACGTTTTTTCACCAGATGGCATCCAGACAGCCCAAGGGGAACTTCAAGACTCCCCAAGAGGCTTCCAAGAGCCCTGCAAAGAGAGCTCCAAGAGGCAAACATCATCCCATCCCGTTCGGACATGTATCTGTAGCAGACACATCCGACTTGTCGGCTCTTGCGGTGTCCAAGACGGCCCAAGAGGCCTCTCATATCCTCCCCAGACGGCCCAAGGAGGGCCACGAGGCGCCCCAATGGGGGCCCAAGACGGCCGAAGAAGCGCCCAAGACGGCCCAAGGGTCTTTGAGGGGTCCAAGAAGGGAAACTCGAATTAAGATTTCGAGCCCTCTGCCCCACAGGGGCCCCCGAGACAGCCAGCAGGCCCCAAGGAGTCTCCAAGAGAGCCCCAAGTGGCTCCAAAAAGGCCCCCAAGAGGCCTTCAAATGGCCCCCGAGAGGCTCCAAGAGGCCTCCTGACAGGCCCCAGCAGCTCTGACCTCGAAACTCACAAACAACCGCGCGCCATAGCCGTCCCAACCCGATCGTATACTGAGCAGAGGAACCAATTAGTACGGCGACGGTCAGAAAGTCTATATGTATATACATATGTGTGTGCATACGAATATAAAGTTGAGGGCAGGTTTGGGACAATCGAGTACAGAGCGAGGTGTGAGGGCAGATCAGGGACGCTGATAGCATGCATGCAAAACATGTTATTCATGTATATATATGTAGATATATATATATATAGAGAGAAAGAGAGAGAGAGAGAGAGAGAGAGAAACACATCAAATAATAACAACAAATGAAGAGTGAGAGGGGAGAGAAAGAGAGGGCAAGTGGGGAGCGCATGCTCAAATTCAGGAAAATCCACTGGTTGGGTTTCTTTTCTTTGGTGCGATGTGTTGAGCCGATCTGTTTGTAGCCGCCTCGTGCCTGGAGGGGTTCGCACTGCGGTGGAGGCCCACGCCAAGAAGCACACTCTGCGTGCCTCCAGGGTGCCCTGAGTTTCTTGGGTTTCGTTGGTTTTGCGATGGAGAGTGTGCCTCTCCCACTCCAATCATCAGGGGACGTCCTGGGGTCGCAAGGTTGGGTTTCTCGTGTAAGGTTTCTTGGGGTCGGGCTTTCACTGTAGGGTTAAGTTGGGCCTGCCCCTCTATCTACAGGAGGAATATTCAAACATAGTGAAAATCGTCAGGGCAATTTTTGAACATGTTAGAGCATGGTTTGACTATTGATAGTTTTTTCGCCCCGAAATCCGCCTGTAGGAGGACATCCCCGACTTCTCTGTAGGGGGTGGGGCCCCGACATGGCTGGGTTTCTCGTGGAACGTTTCTTGTGGTCGGGCACTTCCTGCATCCATGACCACCTGGGGGGTCGAGCTTCGGGGACCCAGGCAGGCGGTGGACATGGATGCAGGTGGGCCCCCGGAGGCCACACAATCCGCTGGGGTCCCGGGGCGTCGGTGCCCTGAGCGGCGGACCTGGATAAACATCCCCGCCTCGCGGGGGCAGTCAGCACCGACGGTGAGAATGCGCGACGTTCCAAGGTTCCCTTTTCGGGTATAGCCAGGACCCCAGGTAAGGAGACCCGGTTAGTGGTACGGCCCTGGAGCCTTTGAAATTTGCCAGAATCGCTAGACCAGGTCTGCCGGAATTGATGTTTTTTTCGGGTGACGGCAGTTCCTGGTAGTGGAAGGGGGCGGGGGGGGCCTCCCCCAGTACACATCATTAAACCAGGTCCCACTAAACCCAGCTCTGCCAACGTCCGACCTTTGTATCCTTCTCTCTTCGGTCCATCCTCGACCACGCTCGTGGGCCGCGCCCCGCTCGAAACGAGTCCGCGTGGCCTTCGAGGGCCCTTGAGAGGAGGGAGGAGGAGGAGAACGAGGAGGAGGAGGAGGAGGAGGAGGAGGCGGAGGAGGCGGAGGAGGGGAGGAGGGGGAGGAGTGGCGGAGGCGGATGCGGATGCGGAGGTGGAGGAGGAGGATGAGGCGGAGGAGGATGAGCATGAGGAGGAGGAGGAGGAGAAAAGGTCGGAGGAGGAGCACAGGGAGGATAGGAGAGGAGGAGGTCGGAGAAAAGGGAGGACGAGGAGGAGGAGGAGAGAGGATGAGAGAGGAGGAGTGAGAGGAGGAGAGAGGAGGAGAGAGAAGGGAGAGTAGGGAGGGAGAGGAGAGAGGAGGAGATAAGAGGCGAGGAGTGAGGAGAGGAGGGAGAGGAAGGCGAGAGGAGGAGAGGGGGTGAGGAGAGAGGAGGAGAGATGAGAGACAGAAGAAATAAAGAGGAGGAAGAGGATGGAGGAGGAGGGGAGGAGGAGGAGGAATGAGGAGAGGAGGAGGAGGAGGAGGAGGAGTTGCATCCTCCTCATGCCTCCTTGCTGTCAGTTTTGACCGTAGTGCCCGCGTGGGCTTTTCCTCCTCCTGCGAGCGCAGCTCCGGCAGCCGGCAGCGGACAGGACGCCTCGCGGCAGGTGCGCGGGTCTCGCACTGCAGTGGAGGCCCGTCCCAAGAAGCACCCTCGGTTTCTTGGGTTTCGATGGTTTTGCTGTGGGAAGCGCGACGCTCCCACACCAAAAATCAACGGACGTCCTGGGGTCTCAGGGTTGGGCTTCTCGTGAAAGGTTTCTTGTGGTCGAGCTTCCACTGTAGGGTTAAGTTGGGCCCGTCCCTCTACAGGAGGAATATTCAAACATAGTGAAACATCCTGACTTTTTTGTGTTTTTACAATTTGTGAGTTGTTGTTTGAACATGTTTCGACTATTGATAATATTTTGCCCCAAAATCTGCCTCTAGGAGGACATGCCCGACTTAACTGTAGGGAGTGGGGGCCCGACAGGGTGGGAGGAGCGCCGTGAGCGCTGCCCGAGCCTGGGCCCCGGATTTTCCGGCCAGGCCTCGGGGGGGAGGTCCAGTGTATCGGGCGAGGCCAGGACAAGGATAGATCTTCGGAGGAGGAAAAGGTACCCATACCGCCACCGTTCATCAGTTTCCCCCTTTTTGAGCCTCCTTGGAGGCCCTCGCCGCCACCGTTGGACTCGCCTCGGAATTCTGGTCAGAACGCACCCCGGGAGAGGTCCAGGGAGTAGCGGTATCAGTACCGTCTGATTTCCCCACCTGTGTATCGGGCGGGGCCAGGACAATGATAGTCAGGAGGGAAAAAAACACACAGACACAACTAATCCTCGATTCCCAGGAAAATATGGGAAAATATGGGAATTGGGGGGGAAGACAAAAACCCAGAAAATATGGGAAAATATGGGGACTATTTTTATTTGTGTGTATTTATTTGTGTGTCCTAATTTCCCTTTAGATAGGTCTGTTCCAGAGCCGTCCGGAGTGCTCTCAGAGCCATATCTGGAGCGCTCCGAGAAGCCGCGGCGCCCGAGGCATCCTCCAGAGCCGCAGGATCTCAGAGAGTCTCGATGGATCCTCACCTGATCAGATCCTCGTCTTGGCTTCGTCTTACTTGTAGGTGGAGGGCTGCGCCCTCCTACCAGGTGCATGACGTAGGACGCACG